CTTTAATCTAAAATTTAGCAATTAAGCAAGGACAGTCAAACTGTGAATAGGCAGTGCTCGGCTTTCTAATTACACATCTCAGCATGCTCTGCAAAAAAAACCCCCAAAACTGTATATAAAACCCCCTCTAGTAAACTTGTATTTTTTTTTTTTTTTTTTGCAGTTGTCAGAATAAAAAAAAAAGGCATAAGAATGCATAGCTAGATTCGTCTTGACTATTTCACCGGCCCAAGCAGCTCCATCAGGTGACGAAGGGAAGGGGGAGGAGTCCAGTGACGTCACAGACATCAACATCACCGGACTCCTCCCCCCTTCCCTTCGTTAGCCGACAGCCACTTGTGGAAGGGGGGAGGAGTCCGGTGACGTCGATGTCCGATGACTCCGACGGAAGATCCGGAAGCCGGCGGAGAGGTGAGTACGGAGCCAAAGAACTTTGATCGATCAAAATAATTTTGATCGATCAAAAAAATGAACGATTAATCGAGGGATTAATCGTTAATTTCCGCAGCCCTAATTTTAACAAAATTAATAAAATTGAGAAAAACTTTAATTGTCCTGTAAAATTCACCCTTCAACAAGCTATAACCAGGCATGGAATCCGCTTCCAAAAATCCTAACCGGATTAAGATGCGACTGGCTGGGTAGATGAGAGTGCTCATGGGTGAATGAAAATCTCCAGAGTGCATTCCATGTAAAATGCATGAGATATAAATAAAATATGGAAATGACCCTCCATGGCATGTTAGCACCGCACCACGGAAACAAACAGACGTGCGTCACTGAAGACGTCATACCTCAGAATATGCTGCTGTCTACAATTCTCAATTTACTTAAGTTTGGCTTTTCAAGGGGTTTTCTTTCATTAGATTGTAAGCCCTCAGGGGCAGGGCCCTACTTACCATCTTGTCTTGAATTGTATTGTGATTGTAATGTCTTCCTTATATTGTAAAGCGTTGCGCAAACTGTTGGCGCTATATAAATCCTGTATAATAATACAAAAATTATATAAAAATATTGCCAACTGATTACTAAGGGGTCATGCATGCTACGGGGAATATGTTCACTAAGGTGCCAAGGTGACCAAAGACATGGCCTTCCCTTCATCAGCCAGAGAGAAGGAAATCATGTATCCTGATTATGACTGGTTGTCAGGAGAATTCCAACTCCTAAAGAGTAACTACACTTTTGTTGTGTCTGTGAAGGTTCTCATTCCTCCAGGTCATGGTATAGCTGTCAAAAAATAAACACAGTTGCCTTGACTTATTTTTTCCACTTTTGTTGACAAAAAAAAATCAATGCCCCCTGGGTAATCAGTGTACATTGCAAGGATTCAAGTAAACTTTGTTGCAAATTCTGACCTGTTTCTGAAGAAATAGCTGTTTGTTGCAGCACGTCCTTTCCAAACTGATCTCTAAATGGGAGGGTCGGGTTCATTATAATCAGCTGCTGGACTTTCTGTGTTGTAATGAGGAAAGGTGCAGTGTCAGCATCCCTTTAGTAGTAATTAACCCTTAGGGAGTATCTCACCAAAAATGAAATTCCTATTGCAAGGATTTTAACAGACTTTGTTACAGATTCTGACCTGTTTCTGTTTCTGAGGAAGTAGCTGTTTGTTGCAGTGTGTCCTTTCCAGACTGATCCCTGAATAGGAGGGTCTGTGCTCATTATAATCAGCTAGTGGACTTTCAGTGTTGTAATGAGGAAAGGTGCAGTGTCGGCATTCCTTTAGTAGTAATGAACTCTTAGGGAGTATTTCACTAAAATAAAATACCTGTTGCAAAGGATGCCAAAATGATACTTGTATCTTAGTGCTGACTTCTGGGAAAAATCAGTCAGCCAATCACAGAAGCAGCAAGTGACATTTCTGGGGGTGTTTTGTACATCAACTGTCTGCAGAACACCTCCAGGTCGGCATAATGCATTGAATTGCTTTGACAGATTTAGAGAATTACAGCGGCTGCAGTTTTAAATAGAAAAGTCTGCCATCTGCTCAGGTTAAGATCGTTTAAAAAAATCACTACTTACCCCCTTCACACTGCTGCACTGCCCTCCACACCTTCTTATACCAGTGGCCTTCGGTGTTCTTCCAAGTTGAATGACACCCGGCATCATAAAACTCATTTGCTGTGAAATCAAGGTGTCATGGACACCCCCCACAGGAGAATGCTGCAGAGAATGGTACTCACACATCACAAAGTGAGCATTGTTCTTTGTAGCATTAAAGGAGAACTATGGGGTTAAGTCTTTTCCCCATAGTTCTCCTTAGGGTAACGGGAGGACACAAACAAGTGTCCTCCCGTCACCCTAGGCTCAGTATACCGCGAGCTACAGCTCGCGGTATACTGAGACGCCGCAGCTGAAGCGGATCCTGACAATTGTGCCGGGATCCGCCCAGCTGCATGACTGACAGCTGGCTCTGCCTATCTAGAGGCAGAGCCAGCTGTACCCGCCCCCTCCCCCGCCCCGTTTTCGGAGCGGGGAATCCAGCCCCTCCCCTGTCACGGCAGAGAGCTGTGACAGGATCGAGAGGTGAGCGAACGCCGGTAACTGTTCGCTCACCTCCCGATCTACTGAGCCGACCTCCCGATCTACTGAGCCGACAGGTCGGCTAGAACTATGAGGTGAGTGAAAAGCACTCACCTCATAGTTCTCCTTTAAGGACCGGCCACTACCAATGCTGAATAATAAAAGGCGCTTCACTCATCACATGTCCAGCCAGGAGACCCCAGTGTAGGGGGTGGGGGGAATACTTTGTGGGTGCTGGTCTTGTTGCCTGCAGGAGCAGGAAATCAGGTAAGTAAAAGTCCCTTTCCCAGGCTCCCTGGACCTGACATGCAGCATCATTTGAGCCACTTCCTGTGAGATCAGGGTGTCATGGACAGACGCCCACAGGAGAATGATGCAGAGAATGGTACTCACACAGGTGCAAGAGATAAATGATCATTTAGGTCTAGGGAACCCGGAAACATAATTTTTACTTATGGGACTTTTCTGATCCCCCCTCGGTTGGCAGTTGGCACTCAAGGGAGTGACCATTTAACCCTCACACTCTAAGGGCAGCTCCACTGCAAGGAGAGGTTTTGTTTTTTTGCTTTTACCAACATTAAGCTTTAAGGCTTCTATCCCACGATTCCGATCCCTTCCTAACATTCCCTTTATTGAAGAAAACCTTAATTGAAAAAAAAGTTGAACTGAATCTGACCTCTACAACATCTCTATGTTAAAGGAAACGCGTACAGGTTCGTTAAAAAAAAAGGAGGTCATCATCACCCAAAAAAATTCTCATTGCGTCCTTCCATTCTGCGTGGCTCAGGGAGCTGGGACCCGCCTCTAA